TTCATCAACAGCAACTACCCATCTGGTTGCCCCCTCAGGGGCTTTGCAGAGGAAAGGAATAACTGTTAGGTTTCTGGAGAATGGTGGTTTTTAAAGAGAGAAAGAGCCAAGTGTGCAGGTTGGCAGTGCAGACATTCGAGGTTCCTTCCAGCCCACTTCTCTGCTGGTGCTTCAGTCGGCCATGAGGATGTCAACATGAGAATAATCCCCAGGACCTTAATAGCAAGGGAGAAAACACTTCTACCCAAAATCCTGGGAAAATGAGGGCATATAATCAGCTATGATCTGGACATTTTTTAGAGATTGAAAACAACAAAAATGCTGATCACGAACTACTCAAGATAATTTACTTTTTTTTAAGTGATTCAAAAAAGTCTCCAAGGTATTCAAAATAGTTGTTAATAACATGTTAGTTTAAATGGGATAACTATGATTATAGCAAACAGTACAGAATTTGGAGCCAAAAGAGCTAGCCCAGGAGATCTTGAACTATAGCCCAAGAGCCAAGTTGGCTGTATTTCCTGATTTTTAGACAAACCTTTCTTGGACCACAGCCACACTCCTTGTTTTCTCATATAGTCTCTGACTGACACACAATGGCAAAGTTGTCATGACAGACTGTAGGACCCACGAAGCCTAAATTATTTACTATCATACCCTATACATTTTTTTAAAAGGTTGTCTATCCCTGTTCTAAAGTGAGATTCAGTCCTGTGATAGTGTGAAAATTACAATTTTTTCTGAGCTTATCTATAAATTATTATCTCCTCTCACAGGGTTGTTGTAAAAAGAATGAGTGGGAAAGCATTTTGTAAACTCAGAGTCACTGTGGAATTTGGGCAGGGCTGATTTTGTTCACCTGATCTGTTTAGAGGCAAACTCACCCCTTTGTATCTCCTTTCCCAGTCTGTAGTGGCAACTGCTGTCCTGTTCTCCTCCTTCACAAATGCAAAATTCCTCAGATACTTCCCACTTTGCCCCTTCTTCCTCCAAATATACAAAACAATCTGGCCATATTTGCCCAGAAACGGAGCACTAGTACAAATGCTTTTATTGATTCTTTTCCTTATGGAGCACTTGTTGAGTACCTACTGTATGCAGGGATGCAAACTCTTGTAAGCTACTTCTTGTGAACAGAAGCATTTTGTTTCTAAGGGATAAATTAGACAGAAAATTTATTACAACAGAATAGAGATGTTGCCATATCATAGTAGGAAGACACATTGTATGTTTGTATGTGTGTGCACATGCCTTTGCTTTATATAAACAAAAATACTCAAGTTCAGATTCAAGAACAGCTTGTTCAAAACAAGAACCTGTTTAATCTAAAATATACTGAAGTGCTTTAAAATGTAACCATTATGTATAACAGTTTTCTCTTGGAAACTACATTCTGAATTATAAGTTTCTATCCCAAATTGCCAACAATGCATTTTCTTCCCTGCCAGTATATGGTAATAAGTGGGGACCCCTCACTCCTGCCAGCTGAACAGTACTATTAGGGACTGATCAGCTCTAAAGCCTGTAGGTCATGTGGGACTCAAGAAGTCAGATAGTTATCATAGTTTAAAATTTTGAAAATAGTCTTCATTTCATAATATCTTATTTCTTCAACAAAGATAATTCAATAAAAATAATTTTGATGATTTCATTTTTTATTTGTTCAAATTGCCATCAAAATAAACTTATAAATTGGGAAGAAAAATTAAGTTTGTTTTCATTTTCTGTTCTTAAAATGCTGTGGCTATATCTATATATGTTCAAATCTCATTACTGCTGATAAAGAATTAGTATTTCTGGATTGTGGATACATACACACTTAGTTCTAGGCTTCAGACTGAGTCCCCTGGGCCCACCCAGCATGGCAACTCTCTCAGTCCTCCCAAAAAAGTATTGGTATTCTTTGTGAATGTGTTCCATCTCTATTTCTCCATGCACACTTAAATACAAAACTGCTGATCCAAAACCCACCATCAATATATGGCCACCAAAATTAAAGCATACAATTCTTCCTCCTTTTTCTCTCTCCCACTAACTAAAACAGTTCTTAAGAGAAATGACGTTTTGGTTTTTATACTTTCTACCCAGGGATTCAATCTTCTCTAGAGCACTTTAAAATAAAATACTTGGATCCACAGAGTATTTTTTATTAGACATAGCTGGACTCCTCCTATGATGGTAAGAAGCATTGAAGAAAGCCTGTCTGTGAACTGGGCCAACCACAGGTACTTTCATTATGCAGTTAGTTTATCTCATATGTTTCAATTCACAGACAGGTTTTTCCATATCTGTCCTCCTGTACAATGCAGTGTTCTGTTTTAGAGTTCATTATTTTGTGTCAAGGAGAATCTCCATTTTTTTCTTCTTTCTGAAATTCATTTGGTTTTCAGTTTTTCCAAAAGCACCTTCATTCTTGATACCAAAGGAAGTCTCTCTAAACCTAGGACAAGTGATGATAACACAGCAGTGCTAATTATAGCCAGGAGCTGAGGTACTGGTGGATTTGGGACTGATTGGGCAGGTTGGTTGATATGACACATCTTGCTGGGCAGATCCTTTCCCTCACCTGACCTTCAGAACATTCCTAGGCCCTGAGCCTGAATGTGTTTTCCTTCCTCCAAAAGCAAAGATCTCAAACAGATAAAATTTGCAATGCAAAAATTATACCCACTATATTTACTTTATATTTCCATCAATGTATGAATAATTTTAGAGAGAAGGATAGGGTATTGGGAACATGCACTTCTGCATGATAAATGCCTCCACATATATCCCATCACCATGATGAATAAGGAATTTTTTCAGTGCCTAATATTTGCAGTTAAGTAATGTTTTGCTTATATTTTTCATATTCTATTTTAATTTTGCACAAATTAAGTTGGGCTGGAAAATGGGTCATGTGACCAGTTTCCTAGAATTCATCCATAAGGTTTATCATTGACATAATTGCTTTAAAAAATGCCCTTTAAGCAGTTCAACTTGGTGCATGACTGTTTTAAAAAGTGATTATAAGAATATTTTAGTACAGCAATTTTTTAGACTTCTCCTATGTGCAAGGTAAATATGAGAAATTTGCATGATGAAAATGGATTTAATTAGATGAATTTAGTTAGACTTGATGAGGTGGAGCCAAATTTAGGATAAATGATATTTTTAAACCAATGAAATTAGTCTCTTGTATTTTTATATTTGCAAAATGAAATTTCTTGGAACATGTGGCAGGGTTTTATAATACATGCATCTCTCTCTCTCTCTCTCTCTCTGTCTCTCTCTCTCTCTCTCTCTCTCCTCTCTCACACACACACACACACACACACACACAGACACACACACACACACGCACACATCATACACAGTGAGATGGAAAGAAAAGTTGGAGTGTGCCCAGTACTCTTGCCTCTCCAGTTACTAATTCTGTCCAGTGAAAGGACTGTCTAGCAAAATTTGCCTGTCTTTCCTATTCTAACCTTGTTCTTCCAAAACACAAAGAATATACATTTGGGGTACAAATGCTGTTAAGTTTCACCTTGATTCTCTTTGCTTCCATCCTATAAAGGATAACAGAGTCACCCATTTTCTGATCCAGAACCCCACTTGTTTTCCCAGGTTCCCTCCTACAACCAACACAAACACAGACATTTACCAGCAAAACAGAAGCTGTTGGAAAGATTTTTTGGCTGCAGAAATGCACTCCTGTCACCAGGACATGGCAGGCTTTTTGCTGTATTGTCTCCCAGTCCTGGCCCCAGTACTCCAAAGACAGCTTTATGTAATCAGTCTATCCTGACATGTGACGTCCTGTCATTTTCCTTCCCATCGGCTCTGCTGCCACCCACAAATCAATAATACTGCCTGGAAAGTTTGTGGTTTTACAGCCATCACAGCTCTGTATTTCTTAAAGGGTACGTCAAAAAATGTAAAGTTTCCTAATGATATTTCTAGCTGATGACACATGGCAGAGCTGATGGACTATTTATAATCAGTGGCATGATCGCAAGCACATTATTTTTATTTCACTTAGGGGGGAGCCCTGTCACTTGCTACCCTCTCTTTGCAGACAAGTTGACTATCTCCACCCAAAATAGTTAAATCCTCTTTGCAGAATATGTTTGCACTCCCTCTTGGTGTTAGGAGCTCCACAGCTCTTTCCAATAAAAACCCCACCCTTCTTTTTCATTGTTATTGGCTCCCGGAAATGATGAGGGCAAAGAATTATCTGAACAACTGCTTTAAATTCTGCCCATGCTTGCATCTTCACTATAAATGTGTCTACTGTTTGCTGCTCAGCTCCTGCTACATCCCTCTGAGTGTGGGTGTGGCTGACATGGCCAAGACAGGAGACACAGCTATTGCATCCAGTGCTTGCCCCAGTTTTACAGGACCGAGCAGAGTGTAACTGTTTTATGTTGGGCACCTACTATGTTCTAGGCAATGTACTTGGTTAGGCATTTTATATTCCATATCTCACTAACTCTCTCAAACCTGTTTGAGGAAAGTGTTATCTCCAGGGAAGAGATCTGGGGGAGCAGAACAATAAATGATTTCTCTCAAGGCCGGGGATGTGGCTCAGTAGTAGAACACTTGCCTAGCATGTGCACAGCCCTGGGTGTGACCCCCAGCAATGCAAAAGCAATTAATAAATTACTTCTCTCTAAAGTCACATGGCCAATAGGAAATGTCCCACAACTCCAATTCAAGTATCTTCTAACAAAGTACACCTGCTCTCTTCCTACTACCCTGTCCTGCCTCTTCCTGATTATGTGGATAAGTGAATACCTAGTGTGGATGTACAGGGGCACCTAGCCAGGCAGTTCCTGTGAATTTAAAGGCCACCCAGTGAGAGATGGAAAAATTGAAAACCTCTCACCCAGGGATAAACCCTGGTGTAAAGTGGGGTTTTGACTCACTACAATGGGGAGTGTTGCCTCTATAAAAATACTGAGAACTTTCTCTCTCTTTCTGTCTCTTTCTTTCTCTCTCTTTTTTTAATGTTTCCACAGGACAGAGTTTAGGGTATGGATTTGTTAACTATATTGATCCAAAGGATGCAGAGAAAGCCATCAACACTTTAAATGGACTCAGACTCCAGACCAAAACCATAAAGGTAAGAGGTGATATATTGGCTTCTGATTCAGGAGGCCCTGGTTAAATTTCATTCCTTGAATCTAATATAAATAGGCAATGTGGGAGCCAGAAGTGGGTTTCTGTATTTATTCAAAGAACATTTACCATCCGTTGTACTAAGTAGGAGATACAGATTATTACAAAACACTGGGGTGAGGGTGAGTGGAGGAAAGGGACCCAGAGACAACCTAGAAGGCAGATATGATGTCTGGGATTTAAAACCTCACAAAGAGGGCCTGTCATCCTGATTCTGCAAAGATGACCAGAAGCAAGCAAGCCAAGGGAAAAAGCTGAGGCAAGAAAACACTGTTCCAGTGTAGCCTAAGTGTGCATGGCAGGTGATGAGGAGATGAGGATGGGGAGGTAGGCAAGGCCAAGTCAGGAGACCTTAAGTGCCAGGTTGAGTAGCTTGGCTTTACCTAAAGGTAGTAAGAAGCCTCCTAGTGGAGAATTGAAAAGGGAAAGCCAATTATAAATAAACACACTAATCTAAAAGGGACAGGAGTGAAAGAAATAGTCATTCTAGCAATTTGAAAATAATCAGGTGGGCAGGTAATATCTCAGGAGTAATCATTTTAAGTCAAAAATGAAAACAGTAGCCCAGAGCCTTCTCCTCCAAGAGATGTAGGTTTCTGTGGCTGGATTGTCGTGTTTTCCTTCAAATCTCATGTATGAGCTCCTTTAGAAGAAGGTGGTCCCCTGGATGGAGCTGCCTGCTCCCTTCCCCTTCTTCCCCCACCTCCAGGCAGCGTCCTGTTTAGGGGTGGCTGCCAGCAGATTAATGAGTCCCATCCTTCATAGCCTATTAAGCCACAGGGAAGTGTCTCCTGGGCGCTCTTATCTTCACAACAGCAGGTCTGACGCAAAGTAGGACAAAAGAGAAACCTCTCCCAGAATGGAAATCTATAGATGGCACCAGCTTTCAGCATCTGAAAACACAAAATCAGAACTTTTTAGTGCAACAAAGCTACTTTTCCAACATCCAGACTAACAGAAAAGACTGCAGGTATAAGATAATTTAGCTGGAAGGTAATCAAAACAAAAACAAAAGAAACAAAATAAAACCTTTCTCTTTTTGGAATATATGGGTGATTATCATTCTTGTTTAAGCACCTTTACTTTTGCAGTTGAGTTTAGCTTTGCCTGATCTCCTACAGTCTATGGAATACAGAGACCCCAAAATGGGCCTGACTCAAGCTGCCTCTATCTAAGCTTAGAATCAGTTCCTACGAATTCTCTAAGGGGGAAATAAGAGTTGTTTAATTATGGGGTAGCCCTCTGAGAGACAAGGAAGATTAATTTCTTTTAAAGGAAAAACATACCTATTTTCATGCTTTAAGTAAAGAAAGGTTTCTCCTGTCACCTGACTGTTTGATAAGGACATACCAGGTTGAGATAGTGTGTTCGATTGATTTTTCTTTGCTAACCAGTTCAGCATTAGAATGTCAGACGTTTATTCTTCCCTTGATGAACACACTGACCTTGAACTGAGATACTTTTATTTCTGCTACAGTTTTCTTGAAACCCAAACTCTTCTCCAAGGGTTTGAGATGAAAACATTAGCCATCAATTCTGCCTTTTTTTTTTTTTTTTGAGTATTCCATAAGGCCCCCAGGGTTTCCCACAAGACTGACAGGACCTAGTTTTTCTGGTCTCAGAATGCAACTCCTGGCCATCATACCATCAGATGCTTTATCTAAGTGGCTCTTAGAGACAAGGAACATTGATTATTTCTGTTCTGTGAAGAGCCAGCATGCCTCCTTCCCTTATCTATATCCCTTTCTGCACCCTTCCACCCACCCTGGGCTCCCCCTGCATCAAAATGCTGCCAACACATTTGTACCCAGCGGAAATGTGGGCTTCTGAGGCACTGTAGGATTCAAAATGCATGATGCCGTGGCTGAATCAATAATTTCTATTCTCTACTACTGAATGAAAATTTAATGTGCAAACGTGGGGATTTTAGCCCTTTCATTAAAGCAGTTTATTTGCCATACTAAAAATTAAGTTTGAGTGATAGGTTCCTTTATTAACTTTTCTTTCCTTTCCTAAAGGGACACAGTGTTTAAGGTAAAAATCATATTAAAAGGAAGAAAAAGCAAACCCTTTTCTTGTGCTGTTAATAGTCTCATCATTTATTAATTTCTTAAAATTGCTTTTTTGCCTTTCAGGCCAGTGTTTACTTCTTCTGCTTCAGTTTGCTTTGATAAGTGACATGAGATTTATCTCTTTGCTCTTACTCCCATGAAGGAATAGATAACTTGCCAATCTGTAAAAAAAAAATCTTTTTTGAACGCATGCATTACAGAGATGTCTTTGGAACCATCTAGTACATATTTGCAAACTTTGATCAAGTTTGACCCTCCTTTGCACATTCCTGAAACATTTCAGGAGTGCTTCCTACAAAACACACTACTTTAAGTGTGATGCACAAAACAGATGCAGGCAAATCAAGAGTTAATTCCTAAACTGTGAAGGCTAATGATTAATAGTTAGGTTCGGGATGGTTCTGGAAAGCCCTGTGAATGTGGTGGTGACTGGGGTAAAGAAGGCAGCTCTTCTACTGTGGCTGCTGCTACTGACAAAAAAGAAGTGGAATGGGAGAAGGAGGAGGAGGATTGTTTAAATTAAGATTGTCACCATACCTTCCATTTGTTCAATAGAAACTGCAATCTAGAATTTTTTTTAATAAGTCTCCCAATTTTTCAATGCTGGAAACTAACTCAAAAAATTTAAAACATTATAAAGGAAGACCAAACAAAACTTAATAGTAGAGCTTTGTGCAGTCAGTTTGCAAATCTTGAACTCAAATTTGAATATGCAAACATTGATTTGCCAATTGGCAGTGAATGGCTCATTACCCTGTGACTAGCAGGAGTTCTCCATGAAAGATGGTTTCCTGTCAACAAAAAAATCCATTTATCTTTATTAAGGAGGATATAAGGTGACAGTATATGAATACTGAGGGCATGTGGAGGGCAAGACCAAACAAAACAAAGAAAGGGCATGATGCATCTCCACACCCCCAGTGAGTACTTGTAAATGTGACTCCAGAGGAGTTGTTCTTTGCATTATAACCTCTTTAGTGGAAGAAGATTCCTATCCCTAATCTTGGAGATCAGGCTTAGACAGGTGATGTGACTTGTCCAGAGTCAACAGCTGGCTAGGAGCTGAGGTGGAATTAGGATACAAAGGGCCTGTAAATGATTCTACCAGAAAAGAGCTGCTTAATATGTAAGCATAAGCTTGACAGGAAACAATAATAATAATTAGTAATATTACATTGAGTATATATACACTGTGTCCAATACTACTGTAATCCTTCTACGTGCTTGTTATTGTTTAATCTTTGAACTATTCCTGGGACTTAGTGCTTTACACACATCAGCTTTGATTCCTAAATAGCCCTATAAGAAGGTGCTCTTAGCTCCTTTATATTAATGAGAAAACTGAGGCCCAAAGAAATTAAGAGGCATATACCCAGGATCACATGGTTGGTAAGTAATATTTGGAGTTTAAAATAAGTTTTAAAAATAACTCCCTGGCAGTAGATCTTAAGTGTTGGAATGTCATACTACCTGTTTGTTCAGTGACACATGCATTCTGTGAGGGGTATGTAGTTGGAGGGAATCTCACACACACAGAGGTTACACTCCCTGGCATGGGTAGGAGATATAAAAGGCAAACAAATTAATTACCTGGTTCCTCTAGATTTATCAGTGAACAAACTTATGGTTCAGGGCTTCTGCCATTAACTTGGCAACACATCTGACTTCAAATAAATTCTTCTTGGGCCTTTACTTCTAGGCTCTGTGCTAATTCCTAGGATTTAGGTGAACCAGAGATGGCAGTGCCCTGGAAATTCTCCCATCCATGTGTCAGAGTGCCATAGGGTATGGACCATGGGCCTGACACAGAAGACTAGAGCCCCATTTAGGAAAGTGGGTCATTTCTTAATGTTTCAACCCTAAGCCCAGTGGAGATGATTTGCCCCATTAAGGGCTTTGGGGAGCTGTTTGTTACCTTTTTCGGTTTTGTTGTTGTTGTTGTTGTTGTTTCCAAAAAGGATCACTTTACACTCTTAGAAGCATTGGGGAAAAAGGTTATGGATTCTGGAAAATGTTTCTGTGATTCTCCTTGACCTCACACCCAATGCCTATTCCAGCTCTGACCCTCTCCTGGGCTCTAAAAGAGCAGCTTCTGAATTTACACTGTAATTTTAGCCTCTTACTAAGAAGCAGTCTGTTGAATCCAGTTACCTTTGGTTCAGCTTGTTGCCATATTAATTAAGGACAAAAAAAAAAAACCTAGTACAGGGTTTTGTGTTGCATTACTATAATCCCAGGTATCCGCTTGGGAGGCTGAGGCAGGAGGATTGTGAGTTTGAGGTCAGCCTAGGCAACATAGCAAGACCCAACCTTGGGCTTAAAAAGAAGAAGAAGAATGAAAAAAAAGAAAAGAAATTAGGTTTGGTGAGGCTTTCAAAAGAGGAGTATGTTTATCAAAGGTTTGGTTGGATTGATGCTCAACCTACACTGAGAACTTTCAGAAAAAAATGGTCCAAGTGGAATGTGAAGGCTTGATATCACTCCCACTAAGCCTTTCAGAGTGATAGAACACCTGGTTTGGGTTTCAACCTAAGTGTGAACAGCAGGATTGGGGAAGTGGTCTCACTTGCTCTACCTCTGGAAGCTCCTCCTCAGGGGGAACACAGACATGCAAAGAATTTAATGGGGGTAGCCAAGGGGCTGCAGAGGTTCCCACTGATGTTGCCAGGGAGATAGGGAGCTGTGCAAGATATGAGTGGGGGAGCAGTCTGGTTGAGGTAAGTTTCCAAGAAGGTTCATCTGTCAATGGCTTGCCATGTAGAGTGTTTGACAATGAATCTAGCAGATTGCAGGCTACTATTGCAAGCTTTGTCAGCCTCTGACATTGGTTTCCATCAACTCTCTTAAGAGCTGTTTTGCTCATTTTAAAAGT